AAAGCCAGTTTCAACTGGTGTGTAAGAGCTGGCCTGATGGGAGAGAATCTGGTCTCCAAACTGTGAATTGGGGGTAATAATATTTTAGCTACTTCACAGGGTGTTACAAGGCATGGCTTAAGTAATAGATGTAAAGCAATCGTTTAATTGTGTCTATAAAGATATGTGTAGAGTGAGAGAAAATTACTGTCCATCAGTTAGAGGCAAAGAAGCGAATATGACTCACAATTTCCAAGCTCTCCTCCCCCCCCCCACCACATACACACACTTCCTGCCATTAGATCATTTGAATGAGGGAGAATTATTCATTTTTCTAAAGTAAACTGAGAATGGAAAAAGGTTTTTCAGGCTTTTGCAAACATCTAGAGAAGCAAAATGTTAGATTTCCCCCCCAATATTTTGTAACATTCACCCCAATCTCTCAACTCCAAGCACCAGCAGGGAAAGAAAAACTCTGGGCCCCTTTAAGGATTGATACCCCTCTTTTTTAACTCCTCTCCTCATGGGCTTGAGGAGGGAAATAATCCTTGGCTGATTAGTTAGTTGGACAGAAAGTTACAATGCAAGCCTGCTGACTCCCATGCATCTTAGAGGAGAGCTTATAAACCTTTCCGCTTTCTAGGGCTGCATTCTGTACCTGGCAGCCAAAGATTTGTGATGGGAGTTGGGCCTGGCTTTTAGGCTTTCCTGGGGGCATGATGATTGCTGTCTTTTGGAGGCTGGTAATCCTAGCCAACTACCCCCCACCTCTCCGTCCCATTGCTAGCTAGAAAGGCCTGGGCAATATGACCTTACTGTCAGAAGCCAAGAGAACTGTTGGGAAAGGTAGATTGTTACTGTCACTATTTGGCAGGCAGCCAGTGCTGTTGTCACTACTTGGCAGGTATCTGGTGCAGGCCATTGTTCAATAGGGTGCTCAGTTCCTTGATAAGCTGGAAGTGGAAATGTATTTGAAAAAGAATTTCCTAAAGAAACTGGGGAATGGGAATGGGACTCATAATGTTTAGTACACCAAAGAGACATTTTCTCCACTATCCACTTAATCCTTGTATAAGGGGAGCCCGGTGGGGTATTAGTTATACTGTTCAGACCAGAATAACGGCTGATACGTAACAGTCCTGTCAATGGGAATGGGGGAGGCAAAGTGGGCAACTGCCCAGGTATCTGGGTCACTTCAAAGGGCAGGAGAGGGCCCTGCCATGCAGGAGACAGTAAGCTATACAGCATCTTTTGAGTGCTCCTGTTATTTTGAAATATAATGGGCTCGCTATTCTGACATCCCTGTAAACCTCATTCCACGAGAAGTAAGGGATGTTTTGGAATGGTGATTTATTTCTAAATAAGTGTTGTGTAGACAGTGCCAAATTTCAGAATAAGCTATTTCAAAATAAGATCGAAGTAAGATAAGATACGCAATTTGAGCTACGCAAATTGTGTATCTTATTTCAACCTAAGGTACAGTGTAGAAGCACCCTTCCATGCCTCCTAACTCAAAGATGACATGTGCCCCTCCCCCCGACATTGCTCCTTCCTGCTTCAGCTCATTGATCCTGGACCCTCCTGCTAGCTGTATAGAGTGAGAGGAATACTGATTTCAGGGTGCCTCTGCCCTGTACCCCAGGTCTGCAGAGCAGGGAGTAGGAGATAAAGGAAGCTCTGGCTCATGAGTACTCCCTTATGTCAGAGCTGCTGCGTTCTACTTCGACGAGGGGCATGTGTTTGTGTGTTTGTGAGACTGAGTGCCAACGGGGCAACAGCCACCATGGGTAGGGTTGCCAGGTGTCCGGTATTGACCTGAACAGTCTGGCATTTTTGCCTCCTGTCTGGTAAAAATATTCAGAAAATACTGGATACCTAACCTGTCCGGTATTTTCTGATTTTTTTTCCCTGCCACAATGCAAAAATACTGGACATCTGGCAACCCTACACACACTCAGCAACTGGGCCCAGCCCCCAGATCTCCCTGGAACCCTCTCCCCCACTTACCTGGTTCCGTAGGGGAGCTGTCTTCTGGTTCGGAGCGGGAAAACAAGATGGCCTCCGGAAAAAATGCCTCAAAGGCCTTTCTTAAAGGGGCCATGCTGGGTGTTTTAATTTTTTTATCTTGCTCAACAACTTTGGTCTTCCCCTTTTTTTTCCTCAACAGAATTTTTTACCCGTTTTTTTGGGGGTGGGGTGGGGGCGGGTTTGGTATTTTTTGTTAAACCATCTGGCAACCCTAACTGTGGACCCTGGAAGTGGGAGGTGTGGGCAGGTGGCAGCCAGCCCTTAGGGCTTCCTCCCCAGCCCTCAGAGTCATGGAGACGATTCAAAGGGGCCCAGGGCTCACCACCACTGATATTGAAGCAGTGATGGTAGCTGGAGTCCTGGGCTCCCTTGAATCGCTGGGCCCCAGGACAACTGGTCCCATTGTCCCCCACCTCCTGCTGGCAGGCCTGCTAAGTGCCTTCATTAAAGAGACAGCTAGACACTATTTCTGAGATTTCCTCAGTAGCCCAGCTCATACAGTCTGTCTGTCTGTCTCTCTCCCCCTGCACATGTACCCCATCTCCTGTGAGTCTCTCAACTTTCCCCAGTAACCTTGTTGTTGTTACTGCTTGGTATATTTGGTACTTCCTGCATTGCACATTCAGCCTCTGTAATTTTATTCTTTCAAAGTGTGCTATTTTAGTGTTTTGACTAGTTTCTGCATTTCATAATTTTTATTTCTCTTCCACTTAAATTTAATTCTGAGTAGTGAGTTCTAAAATGTCTAACTTGTCCTGGCTGGAGTAATTACCATTATGGTAATTTTAAAAATATATGTATTATAGCCAGGATTTTTGTTTTTACTGATGCACATCTCTGCACATGTTTCACTGCACATAACAAAATATGTTGCTCACATGGATGAAAAAAGTAAGAGGCAACGTTCTGGCAATCAGAGGGGCTGGCAGACTTGTCAGGCCCCTGGTAAAGGTGGGAGGGGTTGGCTCTGCACCCCCAAAAGGGGTGTGGCTTTGGGCAGAAGAGATGGACCTGGGGGCATTCAGCCCTCAGCACTGCCTGGAGCATGCCTCTCTACGCCTCACTATTCTCCAGGTAGCCCTCAGAGCCACCGGGACCACAATACATGTTGCTCTGGCAGCAACAGTGGCTAGAAGCCCTGAGCCCTTTTGAATGGCTAGACCCAGGGGGAAATGCCCTCTTGGCCCTCCCATCCCATTGGTAAGCCTGCCAGCAGTGCAGATACAACACCACACAAATATCAGGCAGAACGAGTTGTAGGGGTCCCATTGTCTATTTTGCCCTAGGACCCAGAATGGCTGTCAGTGGGCTTGTTATATAGCAGCGAAGGAAAGCCCTTCCCAGGTAGTATGGGTTACAAAAAAAGAGTGGCCTGCACTGGATGAGTTATTGCTAGAATAGGTCATGGTACTTAATAAAGCTGTTGTTCAATTAAAAGACATTGCTGGTATATTCTCTTTCCTTCTTCAGTGTCAGGACAGTGCTCCAATATTGCATAAATTTAGTGAACTCAAAAGCATACCAATTTTGTTTTTTATAAATCGCTACAAAAACTTGTATTAAATATTTTTCTCTGCTCCAATTTCATATGTTAAAAAAGGCAAGTGAACATTAATTGTGTTCTGTTTAATTTAGCCATTTCAAATAACCTTTCTAGTGTGACTATTTTATTGTTATCATACCTTTACTTAACTGAAGTCCCTCTGGTTTGCCCTGGTTTAAACATATAAAAAGCCAGATTTTCAAAAGTGCATGTACCCAGATTTATGCATGAAAATGCTAGTTCTCATGTTCAACCTCCATTTTGTGTATGCATCAGGATCTGAGTACAGGCAGTCCCCGGGTTACGTACAAGATAGGGACTGTAGGTTTGTTCTTAAGTTGAATTTGTATGTAAGTCGGAACTGGTACATAGTGTAGGGGAAACTCTAGCTAAACATTTCTCCAGAGCTCAGTTTTATTCTCTTCATCATCCTTGGAGGCTTCCTGTAGAAGCAGTAGTCTCTTTGCTGTTGCAGCACTGTTTTGTGGCTTGCAGTAAATAGCAGCATATATACATCAGACCAACCTTGTTCTGTGTGATGATAACATGCGTTCAGTGTATTATCAAAATGTATCTGATAGTCCACTCATGTATGCCATAGGAGTAGGGAATGAGCAATTTGCCCAAGGCCTTGTGTTTGAGAGAGTCCCCAAACTGAGTAGCAAGTTTGGCCTAGCTGCCCCTCCATTAGGTGGCTCCACTGAACCTGAGTGGCGTTGTGACCCTATATGCCATGTCACAATGTCTGAAGCAGGAAGCCCAACTTATCCCCGGCAAGACTAGCAGTTAACGTGGGGCATGCCAGCTCTCCAGTGCCTCACTCCATGCTTTTATCAGTGTTTTTGTACTGTTGGCATTTAGTGGGGAAGGGGAATGAGAGTCACTTTCAGATTTTACCCCAGGCCCTAAAAGACCTCTGAGTAGTTCTGTATGCCAACATGCCATCTACATTTCTATTTACTCTCAACGGTTGCTTCTTCATGGCTACCTTGGGTAAGAAGAGAATCAAGGGGAAAACTTTTAAAGTGAGTTGGGTACCTAACTTTACCTTGAGCCTTGGAAAACATCCTTCTAAACAGTTCATTTGAATTTGGGATGAGCAATGTGGTCTTTTACATACAAATATTCATTTGTTATACAGTATTACTTTTGTTTTTAATAGTCTTTACAATATACATGAAATGTATGAAACTGAAATAAAAAATGATGTAGCTCAGCATTAATTTTTCAGCTCTTTTGGAAATGGCTAGCACATTTCTTTGCACTAACGATATGTCCAGCACCTTTTATACTTTGAATAAAATTACCTACATTTGCACATCATTTTCTTCAACCTCACTTGGTCTTCTGTGAAGTTCAATAAAATATTAGTTAACTGAAAGAGGAGAGAGAAAACAATGTAGGGTTTTTTTATGTAACATTTTTTCTGAAGTATTTTTTTCCTTTGCAGGACTGTTCTATTTACTTTGACCTCTGTAGTTGTGCTTGTCATCACTACTGACTGGATCAGCTGGGACAAATTGAATCGTGGATTTCTGCCAAGTGATGAGGTCTCAAGAGCCTTCCTGGCTTCTTTCATCCTAGTATTTGACCTTCTTATTATAATGCAGGTACACTGTCTTTAATGTTCCATTCAGAACGCTGAAGCTGCCTACTCACCGTATTTCCACTACAGCAAACACTGGTCACTTGAGACTTCATAAAGTTAAATAAATGTTTCGTTTGCAATCACTATTGAGAGATTTTACATCAACATTCTCAGGGACTTTGTCAAAAGCCAGTTGGCCCTTTATTGTGAAAATATTGCTGATTTGTTTTGCTAAGAGTGCCAGGTAAGAACTTGGTGACTTTCCAAATGAGAAGGTATCTTCTGCCAAAACTACAGGGGGGTGGAGAAGAGGGAAGCTAGTCATTTTGTAAATGTAAAGCCTCTATTATGAGGGTGAGAGAAACTCAACAAAGCAAGGAGTAAAAAGACTGCCAGTCAGATCAAAGTCTTACAGTATTTGAAATGTACACGATATCTGAATGCATTTTGTGATGGAAATTAACACACATTCTCAATATTCAATATTTCCACTTTCATGTAAACAATATTTTTACTCTATTCAGTGACAGTTTGCTGCATTGCAATGTCTTTCACTAGTCAGTCTAACTAAATAGATAATTTGTTGTACTCCTAATGAGTGCTCTTCTGTATATAAATCCAAATACTCATTTCATGTGACATTTCAAGGCCTTACCCTTCATCTCTGTTACTTGAGTTTTGTCATAGTGGTTTCTAAAGACAACTCCAGTGCTCTATCAAGAAAGGTCACTTTGGCTGATTTAGTGCAAGAGGCTGTTTAATGTTTAAAATGGATAACCTTATTTGTCCTGAAATTGCAACATTTGGATGGAGTTTAATGAAGAGATCCATAACTGGTTCTCTTGTTTGGACATACTTTATTCATATTTACTGAAATCTACTAACAGAGGTAACCAAATCTGAGAGGTGTCCAGTGCTCTCTGATGAGGTGTCAACTTTTCTGTAAATAGTAACAAATATTACCTCATCTCCAACGTAATTACTACAGAAATGGCAATGTCATGGCTGCTAGATTTTATGAACACTATAATGGGACATCAGAGGGTTTTAAACTTCTACAGTTTTGCTTCATTTTAAGCCTCCAGGAGTAAAGCAATGTGCTATTTGTTGTTGAATAGACTTATAAGAAAAGAAGTTCAGATTAAATATCTAGTGAGCCCTTTCGAGTGACAAGGTAGGTGAGGTAATATCTTTTATTGGACCAACTTGTGTTGGTGAGTATTTTTTCATACTTTCTTTTCTCTCACTCTGCATTTTACTTTTAATTTGGTCTGTTAAATCAGGACCCTGTGATTATACTAAAGAGGAGCAAGCACATTTTGGAATTACACATTCTCTGTAAGGGCAGTGTCTGTTTTTACAGATCTCAGCAAGCTTTTCCAGGAGACTAAACAAAATCCAGTATTGGGTAAAGCCCTCTGATTTTCATTGAAGGATGGTGTTAATTAATTGCACGCATGAAATCTCATTTAGTGTTCCAGTTAAGCATTGTATGGAAATATAGTTTTCTGCATTTGAATGGTAGCATTTCTTCTATTAGTTAGACTAAGTTTAGCAACAGGATAAAAGTACTGTAACTGAGTTTGGAAAGCCATTCTTGATGCTGTGAAAAATAATTACATAAATGTAAAAGAGAAGTTTGTCTGCTTAATATTATTAGAATGTAATCTTTAGACAAGCGCCCTGTGGAGCTAGGCACTTTAGAAACAAATAAAGTGACAGAACTGTGTCCTGGTGGGTTAACATTATAAATTGGTCATAACACAGCAAGTGATGCTATAAACAAAGGGTGGGAATGGCAATATGAGAGGCCAAGTGAACACAGGGAGAGTTACTAAGATATGCTGATTGTTTTGTGCACTTCTTTTTACTTCCTTTTCAGAGCCAGAAAGCATCAGGGAGCTATAGCCATCTCTTCCCTCCCCACCAACCCCACCATAATTCTCTTTACTATGCATAGAGAAATAGCTCTTTCAGCTTGACTTGATGGGTGGGCATTGAGAAAGAGAGAGACTCGGACGCCATTTGCTGAAAGGTAGATTTGAGAGACATGAATGTTGACACAGTAAATGACTCCATAAAAGCAGATACTGAATTAGATTGAAAACCCACAAAGCAGAGAAAGTTAAGGCAGGCACAGGGTGGGGGAAGAGGCTGATAGGCAAAGGCAGCAGATAGACCAAGAGTGATGAGATTGGAGAAGGCTCCTTGGATCTGGCTATAGGTACCTCACGAGCATAGAGTAGAGCAGGTAGATGTTGGAGGAGACAGCATCAAGAAGAGAAAGGAGAGCAAGTTTGAAGCCATGAGAATTTGAGGGTTAAATGCAGGAGGGAGATGATTTGGTGATTGTATTTTTTAAAAAGAAAGAGAAAACAATTTTTTTTCATGCTTAAACTCAACTTTAGACATGGTGGAATCAGGTGCAAGTTCATTGACTCTAATGGAGGTCTGTTTGCTTAAACCAAGTCAGAGTTTGGCCCCAGTTTTGTCATCCTTTTCTCACATTGAAGCTAATCAAGCTGCCCATGATTCTAGTTTGGTTGCATTTTTCCTGCTATATGTGATGCCACCATCAACACGCATAGAGCCATGCAAATCCACGGGTATCTGCATCCTAGGGTGTGGTTATCTACATACCATTTTTGCACCTGGATGCATATACAAATTTTGCATTCACACAAGGCTCTAAATATAGTATCTCAAAGGTTAGGAAGCAAGCTGTCTGTAGCTTGTAGCCTATGAGGCTGCTTCACCACCTTTCAGATGCTATATTTAAAGCCCTGTATGTATATTTAGTTTGCAGAACCAGCTGCCTCCATCTCCAGCTGACCTAATATGATAGTAATGAAGTCGGGAGAGGTTTCCTAAATAGCTTGGCTATTTGAACTGCTGTGATAGGAGTATGGGGGGATTTTGCTGTTTTTCTTGATCTATCATCTCCCTTCCCTCTCCCCCATATACAGAGAGAATATAGGTGGGGAAACAGCTTCATAGGTTATCAGCTGCAGACAGTTGCTTCCCCACCTTTTAGATCTTATGTGCAGTATACACGCATGCAGTATACAAGATGCTCCTTGTGGGAGGCAAAATGAGGCAGCACACTGCTTTGGATGCAGTGTGGATACGGCTATCGATAAAAGACTGAGTGCACATTGCAGAGGGGATTCAAGTTGATTCTTACAGATGCGGATCCACATTTGTGTATCTGAGCAGGGCTTTACATACAAGCAGCACATTTCTAGAGTTTCAATAGTTTATTTCCTTGGCACCACTGAAATCTCGCACCTTCATTTGATTGCCTGTAAGATCACACTTATTAATGTAACATAACATACTCTGTCTTATTTGTAATGGTTACACCTATGGATTTTTCTTCCATTTGGTGTTAATGGAAAGCTGATTAGAATAATAACAATTAAAAAAGAATCTAGCCCCCAACCCCTAAAGTACTCCATTTTGATTAATTACATTTCAGAATGTGCATTACAGTACTTATGCTATGAAGTAAAATTTTTTATATCTAGTGTTTGAAGTAAGTTTCTTAATGGCTAGAAGCCAATGGCAACTAGATGATTAAATACCATCTGTCCAGCCGAGATGAAGCACTGGATTCCTGTAGAGTATGCTGTGCGCACTTACAGGACTCTGTGGAATTGTGAAAGACGAAATCTTTCTAGTATGTCTGTGGAGTTACACTCTATGGTGGCCTTGCTGTGCACTTTGCAAATCTCAGGGTATATGTTTCTATACTTCTTACAATTAGTGATTTTTTTTTAACTGACAGAGCAATAAGATACAACATCTGAAAAATATTAAAGCTGTGTAAGAATACCGTAGCATTTATCATTTGTTTCTTCAGGAAACAGAATAAACTCTGAAGTAGTACAGTGGAACAGACTGAAACTAGGCAATATTTATGTCTCAGCCTCTTTGAGAAAATGGTATCTTGGGGATATAGGGCCAAATCATGAAGTCCAGAAAGCCATAGAGCCACCTCAATTAAGGAAGAAGACTGTTTTGCTTAAAAAAATGACCTGGTGTAGAGAGGAGGTGTAGGTACATATGCAAACAGTGAAAGGTATATAACAGATGAAAGAAAGATGAAGCTGGTCATAATGAATATAAATCAGAAACTGGAAATGGGAGAAGGTTGATCAGGACAGCAAAGAGACAAGAAGAAATCCATGGCCTGCAGAGTTAAGAAAAATAAAGAGAGTTTAGTATATTAAGGGAGAAGATCCTTTCAGTGGTATTGGTACACTCCAAGATAGAATCAGTAGTATTATCAATAACAATGTGGAAAAGACAGAGTGTTCAATAAATACTTCTGTTCTTTATTTAAGGGGAATTGTAGTCATATCATATGGTAACATTCTTCTCAAGCAGAGGAACCCCACAACAGAGGAAGAGAACATAATGGCTAAGTAAGCTGCTATGCTAAGGAGAGTTTGGCTACAGTGATAAATCAGCTAAGGCAGGGGAGGCCAAGAGATCATAATAATTAGAAAGGTACCAAGAAAAGTAACTGGCACCCATAACACACCCATAACTTAGGCTACATTAAAAAATCCACTCAAGTGATAAAGAAAGCAGGTAGAAAACCAACAGCGTGGTGAGAGCTAACCAATTTAATGCACTGAATGCAAACTGTATCATAGAATTTCTATGTATAGAAATTCCGTGCTTGAATAATAGGAGTATAGCAGTAGCAATGTATTACTGACCATATGACCAGGATGGTGACAATGCCTGTGAAATGCTTAAGGAGATTACAGCAGGTAAAAAACCAGAAACACAATAATAAATGGGTGATTTCAAGTATCCTTATATCGATTGGGTAAATGACTCCTTAGGAAATGAGGCAGAGATAACATTTCTAGACACTAGTTTCCAATTTCTTGGAGCGGCTTGTGCTGGAATCCCTAAGGGGAGAGACAGTTCATGATTTTGTCCTTAGTGATGTGCTGAATCTGGTCCAAGAAGTAACCCTATAGCTGAACTGCTTGGTAACAGTGTTCA